GCCCAACTCTAACCACTACACTACCAGAGCTCCTTGGAGGGTCAGCAAAGAGAGGATGAGAATCAATGAAATGGACTGACAAAGCGACAGCAACAGTGGGCCCGAACATAACAAAAATTGTGAGGACGACATAGGAATAGGCAGCGTCTCATTCCGGTATACATAATTTTGCTATGATTGGGAACTGACTCGACAACACGTAACAACAACATTGCTCTGCAGCTTGTTTTCCACGTAACAATTAATTGGTAAACCCCAGACAAAAACACAAACCTTTTGCCATGGAGTCAATTCCAGACTCACAGCAACACTATCAGAGTAGCACTGTCCCATAGGATTTCCAAGGCTGTAATGTTTACAGAATTAGACTGCCACATCTTTCTCCTTTGGAGCAGGTGGTGGGTTCCAACAGCTGCTATTCTGATTAGCAGCTGAGTGTTTAACCACTACACCACCAGGGCTCCATCAATGGCTTGGACTTCCTAAAAAAGCATGTCAATTTCTAGTTTCACAGCTCTGCTAGGGTAGGGGTTACGAATCGGTTTACTTTTTAACAGTCTAATACTTAACACCTTGTTTAATTTGCTAGCTTATTTTTTCTTATGGAATAATTCAAATATTCGGAAACAAAGAGAATATGGCTTCTTTCTTAATTCAATTCAAGGTGGGAAGCATCTGAGTTGTTTAACTGGTATTTTTAAAATTGCATGTAAAAAAAAAATTGCATGTACCTTTCTTGTGTACTAGAGGAAGCATAAAATGTTCAGAAAAATCACATTAAGACTGAACTAGGATTTTAGTCCTTGTTCTTCAGTTAACTGTGTAAGTTTTTGTACTCAATTCTCCACACCTATAAAAACTGGGAAATTGGCTTAAACAATCTCTTATAATCTGTTAAAGCTCTAAGATTATAAAGTCATAAATCACAAATGTTTCAAACAATAATGTTAACTTTTCTTGTATTGTCTCATGCTGAGTACATAATATTGTTATCTCTCCACATTTCCCATAGCTACTGTGTTTCACCAGGAGTTTCGGTGTGCCACTGCGGGTTAATTCACTGGACTGCAAGGTCGCGGTTCAAGCTCAACAGCCACTCTTCAGAAATCCTATACAGGGTCGCTATGAGTTGGAACTGACTCGACAGCACTAAACAACAATAACACTATGTAGCACACGAGGGATCTTAGTTTCATTTACTTACATATATCAAGTGCATACAGCAATGTCTGTCACACTTGATAGTTTAAATAATTGAACGTGGGCTAAGATCCTTGGATAACTTATTTTGAAATAATTAAATCTGGCATATTTATTTCTTCAGTCTAATTCTTACACTCCTGAAGTGAAACTGCTACAAAAAATATAGCTCTTAAGACAAATAATCCAATTTAAAAATGGACAAATGGTATGAACAGATACTTCATTGAAGAATACATTCAGGCAACCAACAAACATGAAGAAATGCTCAAGATCATTAGCCATTAGAGGGAAGCAAATAAGAACAATGAGATGTCATCTCACACGAGCATTAATAGCAAAGTTTAAAAAAAGCAGAAAACAAATGTTGGCAAGAGTGTGGAGACTGGAACCCTCATACACTGTTGGTAGGGCAGTAAAATGGTCAATAATTGTGTAAAATGGTATGGTGCTTCTTCAAAAAGTTGGGAATAGAAATACCATATGGTCGAGCAATCCCTCTACTTGATATATATCCTAGCAGAAGAGTTGAGACATGAATAAATGTATGTACATCCATGTTCAACACAGCAAAATAGCAAAAAGATGGAATCAACCTTAATGACCACCAATGGAAGAATGGATAAACTTCAGTACATACACACACTGAAATACTATGCAACAATGAAGAATTATGGCAAATGCAAAAAACACCTCATAACATGGATGATCTTGGAAGGCATTATGCTAAGTGAAATTAATCACAAAAGGGCAAATATTGTATGTGACCACTACTGTAAAAAGTCAAGAAAAGGTTTTCACACTAAAAGAAATTCTATGATAGTTACCAGGGGTGGTAGGGAATGGCTAGAGGGTTGTTGTAATTAAGTGATCTTGACTCCTAGACATTTGTTAACTTGGATGAAGGGGAAGGCAATATAAAATAAAAGAGAGATTGGCAGAAGAATGATGACAACAGGGTAAAACACAGGGAGGAGTGCAAGAGTTAAAGGGACTACTAGAGCGGCTAGAACAGAAGATACTTCTTGAAAGAAAGACCGACAGAAAAATACAAAACAATAATGGCAATCCGACTGACTACTACAAGAACAAGCAAGTTGCTCGCCCAGGAGACATCAAGGCAAGTGGTCAGGTCTCCTCAGAGCAAACCCCCTTCCAAGACTTACTGGGAATACAAGCTCTGATTGGTGATCATGTTTGTCACCGATAAGGGGAAGTGAGGGAAACACAGCAATGAAGCTGCGAGCTAAGTCCTACAACGTTCAATACACTCCTGTGAACCCAGGTGGAGACCTTGTTGGTCAGCAGTGTGGGAAGACCTAGCAACTCTTGGGCCCAGAGTCAGTGACATAGCCACAGAGGACTAGAGAGTGAAGTGTCCAGCTGATAGGAAGAGAGGGCAGATGCACAAGAACACCCACACTTGCAGATAATACACACTTGACCTGGCTTCAATGACTGGATGATCAGAGCTCAACTAGAAAAAGAAAGAAGAGGAAAAAAAGTGTAATCTGATACAATTTGATGAACTTGACCTACACCTACAGATGCAGTAGCTCAAAAGAGGGAACAAATCTTTACAGCAAGGATCATTCCCACCCCCTCCATACACAGAGTAGACAGGGATGGGCAACTTGGACATTGGCTACACAAAATGGGGGGGAGGGGTGCTTACAAAGGCAAGAAATGACTGGCTTACAAGCTTTCAAGAGGGAACCTAGATCCAGAGGGCTTGGAGGAAGGTAGAATCTCCATTGAGTAGTCTCCAATCTGTCTAGGCCAGGCTGATGAAAGTAAATGAGGATAGGTCTCTTGTGATACAACAGTGAATAATTGTTATCAGGACTGATTGTGAACGTTGGAAATGTAAAGGTAGACGTTTTGTAGCAAAGAGGGGAGTGATTGACTTTGCAGTCTAGGAGCAGAGATCCTTGGGACCATCAAGGGAGAAGAGCGGAGAGCGGGACCCTACCCAGAGAAACAGTGATGCCAGCCAGAGATGGAGGCAGAGATGGTGACGTGGAGAGATGGAGCAGCTGGGGACTTCAGACCCAGAGAGGGAGAGGGGTTGTGTGCTGACGACCGGGGGGGGGGGGGGGGGGGGCAAGCTTGCAGGGTATATCCTTTGGTTGGTTGATGATGCATGGAGGGGATTGTAACCATGGCAATGAAATGATATACGATAGGATGAATGTAAAGTATCACATAATTCACAATAAAACATTAATAAAAAAAAAGTTAAAGGGACTAGAGGTAAATACTGTTATATAAACAATTCTGCAATAGGGATCTACAAGTAGATACATGGACAGATACACAAGCTGAAAGGGTGTAGGAGGGAGAGATGTAGTATACACATAAACATATATATAGGTTTGACAGAGGATTTGTGCTGCAAACATATCCATGAATGTGATGGTGGTGATAGTGGTGGTTATGTGCCATGGAGTCCATTCTGACTCACAGTGACCCTGTATAGGGTTTCTGAGGCTGTAAATCTTTACGGGAGCAGAAAGCGTCATCTTGCTCTGGCAGAACCGCTGGCAGTGTCGAACTGCTGACCGTGAAATTAGCAGCCCAACTCATAACCATGCTATCAGAGCTCTTTATCCATGAATGTGGTGCAGCAAAAAGGGGGCAAACTTATGAAAATTTCTTAGACATTACCAAACATTCCTTGAGGGAATGAGTTACTGGGAGTAGAGGCTTACGACCATAATCTCTACGGACACCATGGTCAACTGACATAACATAGTCCAGAAAGACAATGTTCTACATCCAATTTTGGTGACTAACAATTGGGATCTTAAAAGGTCATTATAACTAAGTTATAACTATTGGTCTCTTCCTGTCTGGAGGTAAGAAAAGTTATGAAAATTGAACACACTTGAAAATAATTAGTCCAAATGGACTAATGGATCACAGGAACACCAGTCACCATGACCCTGAGACCATAAGAACTAGATAGTGCCTGGCTACTACTACCAACTGGTCTGAAAGGGATCACATTAGAAGGTCCTGGATCGAGTGGGAGAAAATGTGGTACAAAACCCAATTTGAAAAAAAAAAAAAAAGACGAGGCATAGTGGTGGAACCCCGAGACTACTGCTCTTGGTCACTCTTCAGGTCTCCAACTGAACTCACCCGAGTGGATCAATTTTCAGCCAAGCAACAGATAGCTATATAGGGGAGACAACACTAGTGAGGTAAGCACACTACTCAGTGGTCAAATATTTGATATCAAAGGGCAACATTTACCTAAGAACAAAATTCAGAAGGTTTAGGAATGGAAATGAGACTGACAGGAAATGGAATAAGTGATGTTACATTGAGGGGATTACAATCGAGATGAAATGAAGTTATGATTTGTTGAATGGTGACCTGTTCTGTAAACCTTCACTCAATTCACAATAAAAAGAAAAATATATGTATATTTTATATATTCATGAGGTAGGTACATCTGGCGACAGCAGAAAGGCGCTCAGATATTCTACCCTCCGATCTAAAGGCGAATTCACCACCACCACCGCAGCCACCAGCAAGAAGTGTTAAAACTAACTACAAACATTCACTAGTCTATGGAAGCCGACAGTTAACAAACCCTCCCCATCCTCAATCTCCACATCCCCACAATACAAGGAGTTCCTTCTCTTGGGAATCCATTAACACGGGAAACCGCGGAATTAAAGCCATCAAAGGCTCGGAACTGGCCGGGTAAGGCGGCGGGAAGGAGAGAACAGACCTGCTCAAGCCCCACTTTCATTGTAAAAGGCCCGTGTTGGAACAAACGATGTCCTCACCTCCTTCTTTCTTTGGGCAGAAGCCGAGGGAACCCCGTAAATGAGCACCAACGCCACCTCCACGGTCGCAAAAACACACCAAAACCACCAACGCGCTGCCATGTTTCCTCCTTTCACTTGAATAAGCGAAACTTTCCTCTGGCTAGATCTGAGGGTGGGGCATGAGAAGAGGCAGACCTGCCCCTTGTCCTTCCTCATTGGTCCAAATCAGCCCTGCGTGTCAGTCCCTCACATGACATCACAACGCGTTGTACTGGACTCCTGCAAAAAGACGGTTCACTTCTAATTGGTCCCAGTTAGCCAATAGAAATAGGCTAATCTGGAGGTTTTTCATTGGCCAGCTAAGTATGATTGCCCTTTCATTTACGGGATAATATGCGTCTATAGGCTCTTCAAATACGCATGCGCACTTGTGAAATATTGCGGCTCTGGCGTGCAAGATGGATGGCTTGAGTAGTAAAACGGAGTCTTTTTTTTTTCCCCCGTCAGATTCATTCAGAAGTCCTTGAAAGCCACCTGCTTCGAAAAATATTCTAGAACAATGGGACCTAGTTAAGTGCTACTATAGTCCCTCATCTTGCTTCTAAATATTTCAAGTCAAAATTGAAAACAAAATAAAATGTAGAAAAGCAAAAATATAATAGATACTAATGAGGGAGATTATTTTAAAATTGAGTTAACAGGACCTTGTTAAATTTCTTCTATGTCCTAAAAACACTCAAAGGAAAAAAAATAATTACAAACTTTAAATGGAAAGGAAAGAGACCCAGGATAAGCAAAGCAATGCTTAAGAAGAAGAGTAAGGATGGAAACCTCTCGGTCCCCGACTATTACACGGCTATTCACCAGCTGCTCCTTGGAAACCCTATACAGGGTCGCTATGGGTCAGAATCTACTCAACAACAACAACAACACAGTGGTCAAAACAGCCTGGTACTGGTACAATGAAAGATTCATGGATCAATGGAACAGAATTGAGAATCCAGAAATTAACCCATCCACATAGAGCCAACTGATTTTTGACAAAGTACCTAAATATATCACATGGGGTGGGGGACAGTGTCTTCAACAGATGGTGCTGGCAGAACAGGAAAGCGATATGCAAAAGATTGAAACAAGACCTTTACCTCACACCTTATACAAAAACCAAATCACCAAAGATCAAAGACCTAAATGTGAATCCCAAAATTATGAAGGCCATCAATGAAAAAATAGGGACAAATGTGAGGGAAATAATTCAGGGAATACACAGACTACCAAACATTTTGAAAACTACACAAACAAAAGTAGACAAATAGATGCTTGGAACATACTAAAAATTTAAAACTTGTACATCAAAAGACTTCACCAGATGAGTAAAAAGGGAACTCACAGAATGGGAAAAAATCTTTTGCAAGGACACATCAGACAAGGGCCTCGTTTCTCAAATATATAGGAAATTACAACACATCTACAAGAAAAAAACAACCCAATTAAAAACAGGGCACAGGACATGAACAGACACTTCACTAAGGAGGAAGTCCTGGCAGCCAACAAACATGAAGAAATGTTCATGATCATTAGTCATTGTTGTTGTTGTTGTTGAGTGCCGTCAAGTCGGTTCCGACCCATAGCGACCCTGTACAGGGTTTCTGAGGCTGTAAATCTTTACGGGAACAGAAAGCCTCATCTTTCTCCCGCGGAGCAGCTGGTAGTTTCGAACTGCTGACCTTGCAGTTCGCAACCCGATTCGTAACCACTACGCTACCAGAGCTCCTTAGAGAGATGAAAATGAAAACAAAAATGAGATATCATCTCATACCAGCAATAACAGCAAAGATAAAAAAAACTAGAGGACAATAAATGTTGGTGAGGATGGGCCCTCCTACGTTGTTGGTGGGATTACAAAATGGTCCAACCACTCTGGAAATAGAAATACCTTATGATCCAGCCCACAAGAAATACCACCCATAACATGAGTAGATATATGCACACCAATGTTCATAGCAGCACTATTTACAATATCAAAAAGATGGAGACAGCCTAAGTGCCCATCAACTGAAGAATAGGTAAACAAACTGTGGTACATACACACAGTGGAATATTATGCTACCTTGAAGAATAACAAGGAAGCTGCAAGCCACCACCTAGCGTGGATGAACCTTGAGGACATTATGTTGAGTGAAATTAGTCACAAAAAGAGAAATACTGCATAGGACCACTACTGTAATAGAATAAGAAAAAGAACCCATACATACTAAAGGGAGTGGGATTCTTTGTTGGTTACCTGCAAATGGAGGGTAGGGTGAGGGGAGGTAGGGGAAGGTGGAGGTAGGGAGTAGACACAGGATAGTTTGGGTGCTAGAGAGGGGGGCAATACACAAGAAGGGGGGTGGGAATGGAAGAACAAGGCTGACAGGAAAACAATCAGGAAGGTTTGCATGGGCTAAGTGGGACATAGGTAAATAATGATGTATGCACAACCTTGGAACAACAGGGCTCTGGAATACAGGGACTGAGGCATGGTTGGAATGGGCAAAAGGGAAGTAATAATGTTAAAATGCTTGGCTGTCTTTTGAATCTTGGTTTCCCTGGCATACCATTATAAAATAGACACTTGAGGGGGAAAGAAAGGAATAGCCAGAAATATCACCATAGAAAGCTTGTAAGTCCTTCTTCTGCCTATAACTGATTGGAATACCTAAAATGGGGTTACAACGTGTCCAGTGAATGACGCTTCCTGAACCCCATCCAGAATTTCTGAGGTGGGACATTTCCACTTGAAAGGACAAGCAGACCAGCCTGAAGTGGCTAGAAGAACAGAAGATACTTCTTGAAAGAAAGACTGACAGTAAAAATACAAAACTATAACAGCAGTCCGACTGATTACTACAAGAACAAGCAAGTTGCTCACCCAGAAGACATCAAGGCAAATGGTCGGGTCCCCTCAGGGCAAACTCCCTTCCAAGACTAAGACTCAATGGGAATACTCAAGCAGACAGGTGCTATGATTGGTGACCACATTCGTCACCGATAAGGGGAAGTGAGGGAAAAGCAGCAATGAAGTTGCGAGCTAAGCCCTACAACGTTCAATAGACTCCTGTGAACCTGGGTGGAGACCTGGTTGGCCAGCAGTGTGGCAAGACCTGGGGACTCTTGGGCAGTGGCATAGCCACAGAGGACTAGAGTAGAGAGTGAAGTGTCCAGCTGATAAGAAGAGAGGGCATATGCATAAGAACAACCACACTTACAGATAATACCCATGTGACCTGGCTTCAATGACTGGATGATCAGAGCTCAACTAGAAGAAAGAAGAGGAAAAAAAGAGTAATCTGATACAATTTGATGAACTTGACCTACACCTATGGATGCAGTAGCTCAAAAAAGGGAACAAATCTTTACAGCGAGGATCATTCCCACCCCCTCCATACACAGAGTAAACTGGGATGGGCAACTTGGACATTGGCTAACCATAATGGGGGGGGGCCCTACAAAGGCAAGAAGTGACTGGCTTACCAGCTTTCAAGAGGAAGCCTACATCCAGAGGGCTTGGAGGAAGGTAGAATCTCCACTGAGTAGTCTCCAGTCTGTCTGGGCGGGCCTGATGAAAGGAGATGCGAATAGGTCTCTTGTGATACAATGGTGAATAATTGTTATCAGGACTGATTGTGAGGGTTGGAAATGTAAAGGTAGATATTTTGTAGCAAAAGGAGGGGAGTGATTGACTTTGCAGTCTAGGAAGGGAAGTCCCTGGGACCATCAAGGGAGAAGATGGGAGTGCTGGACCCTATCCAGAGAAGCAGTGATACCAGAGATGGAGGCAGAGATGATGACAGGGAGAGATGGAGCAGCTGGGGACTCTAAAGCCAGAGAGGAGAGGGGCTGTATGCTGAAGAGGGGTGGTGGGTGGGGGAGTGGAGACAGGCTTTCAGTGTATACCCTTTGGTTGGTTGATGATGCATGGAGGGGATTGTAACCATGGCAATGAAATATATGATAGGATGAATGTAAAGCTAATGTTCTCCCATGTAAACTATTACATAATTCACAATAAAACATTTTTTAAAACACCCAAAACACTGTCAGGTACACTGAACAAAAAACAACATCAAAAATTTTTTTAAGTACTTTGTTTATTCATACCTTTAAAAAACTTTTTTACCCTGATTTTTAAACCCCCTGGTAAAAAAACAGTTAATGTTTTCCACTGCTAACTGACTGGTGGGAGATTTTAAAATTTTTTAAATAGTTTTTAAAATTAAACTTTCTATTGTGAATTGAGTGAAAGTTTACACAACAGATAGATGGCACTTAAAAACAACAGCTGATAGTTTCTAACTTCTGACGATAAGATTATCAGCCTGACTCATAACCACTACACTACCAGAGCTCTCTCTGTCTCTCTCTCTATATATATGTATATGTGTGTGTGTGCATGTATATATATGGAGCTCTGGTAGCGTAGTGGTTATGAATCAGGCTGCTAATCTCACGGTCAGCAGTTCAAAACTACTAGCTGTTCCACGGGAGACAGATGAGGCTTTCTGCTCCAGTAAATATTTACAGCCTCGGAAACCCTGGACAGGGTACCCTCTCTATGAGTCTGAACCGACTCCACGGCACTTAGCAACAACAGATAGATAGCTAGAGAGCTAGATAAATAGATAGAGTTGTTGTTGTTGTTGTTATGTGCCGTGGAGTCGGTTCTGACTCACAGCGACCCTGTACAGGGTTTCCGAGGCTGTCAATCTTTACGGGAGCAGAAAGCCTCATCTTTCTTCCGCGGAACAGCTGGTAGTTTCGAACTGCTGACCTTGTGATTCACAGCCCGATTCGTAACCACTACACTACCAGAGTTCCTTATAGATCTAGATCTAGATATAAATATAGATACACACACACATATATGTATGTATGTATAAGGAGCTCTGGTATCATAGTGGTTACAAACCGACTCCATGGCACATAACTGCAACATATGTATGTATGTATAGAGCCCTCGTGTGGGGCTGTAGGATAAACACTGGGCCACAAGGTCAGTTTGAATCGCAAGGTAGGCTGTTCAGACCCACCAGCTGCTCCTTGGAAGCCCTATACAGTTCCGACTCATACCAACCTGGTTGCAACACATATATATGAGAGGTTTCAAAAAGTTCATGGAAAATGGAATTAAAATATAATGGAATTTTTCCATGAACGTTTTGAATATCCCGTGTGTGTGTGTATACTAAATACATCACAAAGGTAAGTATAAAACTATTTCTCAAATAAAAAAAACCTTTATTAAACAAAAATATCAAAATGT